GGATGGGTGGGTTAGTAGATGGGTGAGTGAGTGGGTGGGTGAGTGAGTGGGTGAGTGAGTGGATGGGTGGGTGGGTGAGTGAGTGGGTGAGTGGGTGGGTGGGTGAGTGAGTGGGTGGGTGGGTGAGTGAGTGGGTGGGTGGTTGGGTGAGTGGGTGGGTGGGTGGGTGAGTGAGTGGGTGGGTGGTTGGGTGAGTGGGTGGGTGGGTGGGTGGGTGAGTGGGTGGGTGGGTGGGTGAGTGAGTGGGTGAGTGGGTGAGTGAGTGGGTGGGTGAGTGGGTGAGTGAGTGGGTGGGTGAGTGGGTGGGTGGGTGGGTGAGTGAGTGGGTGGGTGAGTGAGTGAGTAGGTGGGTGGGTGAGTGAGTGGGTGGGTGGGTGAGTGAGTGGGTGGGTGGGTGAGTGAGTGAGTGGGTGAGTGGGTGAGTGAGTGGGTGAGTGAGTGAGTGGGTGAGTGGGTGAGTGGGTGAGTGGGTGGGTGGGTGGATGAGTGGGTGGGTGGGTGAGTGAGTGGGTGGGTGAGTGGGTGGGTGGGTGGGTGAGTGGGTGGGTGGGTGAGTGGGTGAGTGAGTGAGTGAGTGGGTGAGTGGGTGGGTGGGTGGGTGAGTGGGTGGGTGGGTGAGTGGGTGAGTGAGTGAGTGAGTGGGTGAGTGGGTGGGTGGGTGGGTGAGTGGGTGAGTGGGTGGGTGGGTGAGTGGGTGGGTGGGTGAGTGAGTGAGTGGGTGGGTGGGTGAGTGGGTGGTTGGGGTGGGGGGGAGCACCTCCAGGTTGGCGACGTTCTCTCGCATGGAGCCGTAGCGTGTGGTGTGGGTGCCGGAGGCGCTCGTCGCAGCCATGCCACAGAGCGACGCGTCCGCTCCGGGGTCTGTGCCCGGCGGGTGGAGTGACACACACACAGACACACACACACACAGACACACACACAGACACACAGACAGACACACACAGACACACACAGACACACACACAGCCACACACAGACACACACACACAGACACACACACAGACACACACACACAGACACACACACACAGACACACACACAGACACACACAGACACACACACACAGACACACACACAGACACACACACACAGACACACACACACAGACACACACACAGACACACATACACACACAGACACACATACACACACACACGTGGGGTGCCGGCAGAGGGTGGCAAACACCCACCCACCCACGCACCAACTCACGACACATCACCTCACTCAACCACCCACCCACTAATCAACCCACCTACCATCTCACTCGTTCACTTATCCAGTCATTCACTCGTTCACAATGCACACACCCACCCAACCACACACCCACCCAACCACACACCCACCCAACCACACACCCACCCAACCACACACCCACCCAACCACACACCCACCCAGCCACACACCCACCCAACCACACACCCACCCAACCACACACCCACCCAACCACACACCCACCCAACCACACACCCACCCAACCACACACCCACCCAGCCACACACCCACCCAACCACACAGCCACCCAACCACACACCCACCCAACCACACACCCACCCAACCACACACCTACACACCCACCCATCCCCCTACCCACCCATCCCCCTACCCACTCATCCACCCACTCACCCACCCACGCACCCACCATCTAAAATAAATTACCCACTTGACACCATCTCACTCATCCACCCACCCACTCATCCACCCACCCACCCACTCATCCACCCACCCACCCACTCATCCACCCACCCACTCATCCACCCACCCACTCATCCACCCACCCACCCACTCATCCACCCACCCACTCATCCACCCACCCACTCATCCACCCACCCACTCATCCACCCACCCACTCACTCACCAACCCACTCATCCACCCACTCACTCACCAACCCACTCATCCACCCACCCACTCATCCACCCACCCACTCATCCACCCACCCACTCATCCACCCACCCACTCATCCACCCACCCACCCACTCATCCACCACCCACCCACAGGGAACCAGAGCCCTGTGTGCCGCAGGTGAGTGTTGAGGGCGACCCGCGTCACCCCGGGCTGCACCGTCACGTCCAGGTCCTCCTCGTGCAGGTCCACGATGTCCGTCATGCGTGACAAGTCGAAGCAGACCCCACCCTGAGCGGGGGCGGGGTGGGTGAGACTCACACTCCGTCACACTCCGTCACACTCCGTCACACTCCGCCACACTCCGTCACACTCCGTCACACTCCGCCACACTCCGTCTCACTCCGTCACACTCCGTCTCACTCCGTCACACTCCGTCACACTCCGTCTCACTCCGTCACACTCCGCCACACTCCGTCACACTCCGTCACACTCCGTCACACTCCGTCACACTCCGCCACACTCCGCCACACTCCGTCACACTCCGTCACACTCCGCCACACTCCGCCACACTCCGTCACACTCCGTCTCACTCCGTCTCACTCCGCCACACTCCGCCACACTCCGCCACACTCCGTCACACTCCGCCACACTCCGTCACACTCCGTCACACTCCGTCTCACTCCGTCACACTCCGTCTCACTCCGTCACACTCCGTCACACTCCGTCTCACTCCGTCACACTCCGCCACACTCCGTCACACTCCGTCACACTCCGTCACACTCCGCCACACTCCGCCACACTCCGTCACACTCCGTCACACTCCGCCACACTCCGTCACACTCCGTCTCACTCCGTCTCACTCCGCCACACTCCGCCACACTCCGCCACACTCCGCCACACTCCGCCACACTCCGTCACACTCCGTCTCACTCCGTCACACTCCGTCACACTCCGTCACACTCCGTCACACTCCGTCTCACTCCGTCACACTCCGTCTCACTCCGTCACACTCCGTCACACTCCGTCACACTCCGTCACACTCCGTCTCACTCCGTCTCACTCCGTCACACTCCGTCACACTCCGTCACACTCCGTCACACTCCGCCACACTCCGCCACACTCCGTCACACTCCGTCACACTCCGTCTCACTCCGTCACACTCCGTCACACTCCGTCACACTCCGTCTCACTCCGTCACACTCCGTCACACTCCGTCTCACTCCGTCACACTCCGTCACACTCCGTCACACTCCGTCACACTCCGTCACACTCCGTCACACTCCGTCTCACTCCGTCACACTCCGTCTCACTCCGCCACACTCCGTCACACTCCGTCTCACTCCGTCACACTCCGTCACACTCCGCCACACTCCGCCACACTCCGTCTCACTCCGTCTCACTCCGTCTCACTCCGCCACACTCCGTCTCACTCCGCCACACTCCGTCTCACTCCGTCACACTCCGTCTCACTCCGTCACACTCCGTCACACTCCGCCACACTCCGCCACACTCCGTCTCACTCCGTCTCACTCCGTCTCACTCCGTCACACTCCGTCTCACTCCGTCACACTCCGTCTCACTCCGTCTCACTCCGTCTCACTCCGTCTCACTCCGTCACACTCCGTCACACTCCGCCACACTCCGCCACACTCCGTCTCACTCCGTCTCACTCCGTCTCACTCCGTCACACTCCGTCACACTCCGTCACACTCCGTCTCACTCCGTCACACTCCGTCACACTCCGTCACACTCCGTCTCACTCCGTCACACTCCGTCACACTCCGCCACACTCCGTCACACTCCGTCACACTCCGTCACACTCCGTCACACTCCGTCTCACTCCGTCACACTCCGTCACACTCCGTCTCACTCCGTCTCACTCCGTCTCACTCCGTCTCACTCCGTCACACTCCGTCACACTCCGTCACACTCCGTCTCACTCCGTCACACTCCGTCACACTCCGTCTCACTCCGTCTCACTCCGTCTCACTCCGTCACACTCCGTCTCACTCCGCCACACTCTCTCCGTCTCTGTCTCTCCAATGTCTCTCCTCTGTCTCTGTTTATCCCCTGTCTCGTCTCTCTCTCCCCCCTGTCTCTCTCTCTCCCCTGTCTCTGTCTCTCTCTCTCCCCTGTCTCTGTCTCTCTCTCCCCTGTCTCTCCCCTATCTGTCTCTGTCTCTCATCTGTCTCTCCCCTGTCTCTCCCCTGTCTCTGTCTCTCCCCTATCTCTCCTCTGTCTCTCCCCCGTCTCTCCTCTGTCTCTCTCTCTCCCCTGTCTCTCCAGTGTCTCTCCCCTGTCCCCGTCTCTCCCCTGTCCCCGTCTCTCTCTGTCCCCATCTCTCTCCCTCCGTCTCTCTCCTTCCTGTCTCTCTCCCTCCTGTCTCTCCCCTGTCCCCGTCTCTCTCCCTCCGTCTCTCTCCCTCCTGTCTCTCTCCCTCCGTCTCTCTCCCTCCTGTCTCTCTCCCTCCTGTCTCTCCCCTGTCCCTGTCTCTCTCCCTCCGTCTCTCTCCTTCCTGTCTCTCTCCCTCCTGTCTCTCTCCCTCCTGTCTCTCTCCCTCCTGTCTCTTCCCTGTCCCCGTCTCTCTCCCTCCGTCTCTCTCCCTCCTGTCTCTCTCCCTCCTGTCTCTCTCCCTCCGTCTCTCTCCCTCCTGTCTCTCCCCTGTCCCCGTCTCTCTCCCTCCGTCTCTCTCCCTCCTGTCTCTCTCCCTCCTGTCTCTCCCCTGTCCCCGTCTCTCTCCCTCCTGTCTCTCTCCCTCCTGTCTCTCTCCCTCCGTCTCTCTCCCTCCTGTCTTTCCCCTGTCCCCGTCTCTCTCCCTCCGTCTCTCTCCCTCCTGTCTCTCTCCCTCCTGTCTCTCCCCTGTCCCCGTCTCTCTCCCTCCTGTCTCTCTCCCTCCTGTCTCTCTCCCTCCGTCTCTCTCCCTCCTGTCTTTCCCCTGTCCCCGTCTCTCTCCCTCCGTCTCTCTCCCTCCTGTCTCTCTCCCTCCTGTCTCTCCCCTGTCCCCGTCTCTCTCCCTCCGTCTCTCTCCCTTCTGTCTCTCTCCCTCCGTCTCTCTCCCTCCTGTCTCTCTCCTCTGTCCCTCCCCTCTGTCTCTGTCTCTCTCCCTCCTGTCTCTCCTCTGTCCTCTGTCTCTCTCCTCTGTCTCTGTCTCTCCCCTCTCCCTCCCTCCTCCCCTCCCCCCCCTCACCTCCTCCGCCACGACGCCTCCCTCGATGCCCGTGCCGGTACCGTAGGGGACCATGGGCACGCTGTGGTCGTAGCAGATCCTGGCGAGCTGCCGCACCTGAGCGGTGTTCTCGGGCCACACCACCACGTCTGGCGGCTTGCAGCTGCTCGCCACGGACACCCACACAGGGTCAACCCCCCCGGGACAAAGTGACGGCATCACCTTGCATCCTCGTCCACCCACTCACCCACACGCCTGCTCATCCACCCACCCACTCGCTCATCCACCCACTCAGCCGCTCACCCACTCACTCATCCACCCACCCACTCATCCGCCCACCCACTCACTCATCCATCCACCCCACCCACTCACCCAATCACTCACCCACCCACCCACCCACTCACCCACTCACCCACCCACTCACTCACTCACCCACCCACCCACTCACCCACTCACCCACTCACTCACTCACCCACTCACCCAATCACCCAATCACCCACCCACCCACCCACTCACACACTCACCCACTCACCCACCTACTCACCCACCCACCCACGTATTTATGTTACCAGCTGTAGGGCCCCACTGAGCTACTGCGTAGGAGATCTTTCACAGAAGCGACCTGGCCCATCACAGATTATAGCAGCTCAGCCGCATGGCTGATATCATCGTCATCAGCACGTGGTGATTCTAAATGTGAAGGAAAAAAGTGGAAGACCCAGAGACAAAATCCACGCAGCAACCACCACGGGCAGAGACACGCAGACTCCAAATAGACAGGAGCAGCAGCCGCAGGCGTCAGAGTCGGGATGGAACCCACGACCTCCTGCATACCGGGCGAGGTAGTCAACATCTCCTAGCCACCGCGGTGTGCCACTATGGCCGTGTCTCTCTCTGGGTGTGAGGTTCACAGTGGCCGTGTGTCTGTGTCTCTCTGTCTCTGTGTCTCTGGGTGTGTCTCTCTGTCTCTGTGTCTCTGTCTCTGTGTCTCTGGGTGTGTCTCTGTCTCTGTGTGTCTCTCTGTCTCTATGTGTCTCTCTGTCTCTCTGTGTCTCTGTGTATCTCTCTGGGTGTGAGGTTTACAGTGGCTGTGTCTCTGTGTTTGGGTGTCTCTGTCTCTGTGTCTCTGTGTGTCTCTCTGTCTCTATGTGTCTCTCTGTCTCTGTGTCTCTGGGTGTGTCTCTCTGTGTCTCTGTGTCTCTCTGGGTGTGAGGTTCACAGTGGCTGTGTGTCTGTGTCTCTGTGTGTCTCTGTCTCTGTGTGTCTCTGTGTCTGGGTGTGTCTCTGTGTCTCTGTGTCTCTGTCTGTCTCTCTGTGTGTGAGGTTCACAGTGGCCGTGTGTCTGTGTCTCTCTGCCTCTGTGTGTCTCTCTGTCTCTGTGTCTCTGTGTGTGTCTCTGTCTCTGTGTGTCTCTCTTTGTGTGAGGTTCACAGTGTCCGTGTCTCTCTGTCTCTGTGTCTCTCTGTCTCTGTGTGTCTCTCTGTGTGTGAGGTTCACGGTCTCCGTGTCTCTCTGTCTGTGTGTGTCTCTCTGTCTCTGTGTCTCTCTGTCTCTGTGTGTCTCTCTGTGTGAGGTTCACGGTCTCCGTGTCGCTCTGTCTCTGTGTCTCTCTGTCTCTGTGTGTCTCTCTGTCTCTGTGTGTCTCTGTGTCTCTGTGTGTCTCTCTGTGTGTGAGGTTCACGGTCTCCGTGTCTCTCTGTCTCTGTGTGTGTCTCTGTGTGTCTCTGTGTGTCTCTCTGTGTGTGAGGTTCACGGTCTCCGTGTCTCTCTGTCTCTGTGTGTGTCTCTCTGTCTCTCTGTGTGTGAGGTTCACAGTGTCCGTGTCTCTCTGTCTCTGTGTGTGTCTGTCTCTCTGTCTGTGTCTCTCTGGGTGTGAGGTCCACGGTGTCCGTGTCTCTGTGTGTCTGTCTCCGTGTCTCTCTGGGTGTGACACGGTGTCCGTGTCTCTCTGTCTCTGTGTGTGTCTCTCTACTCTCTGTGTGTCTCTCTGTCTCTGTGTGTCTGTCTCTGTGTGTCTCTCTGTGTGTGGGGTTCAGTGTCCGTGTCTCTCTGTCTCTGTGTGTGTCTCTCTGTCTCTGTGTCTCTCTGTCTCTGTGTGTCTCTCTGTGTGAGGTTCACAGTGTCCGTGTCTCTGTCTCTGTGTGTCTCTCTGTCTCTGTGTCTCTCTGTCTCTGTGTGTCTCTGTGTGTGAGGTTCACGGTCTCGGTGTCTCTGTGTGTCTCTCTGTCTCTGTGTCTCTCTGTCTCTGTGTGTCTCTCTGTCTCTGTGTCTCTCTGTCTCTGTGTGTGAGGTTCACGGTCTCCGTGTCTCTCTGTCTCTGTGTGTGTCTCTGTGTCTCTCTGTCTCTGTGTCTCTGTGTGTCTCTCTGTGTGTGAGGTTCACGGTCCCCGTGTCTCTCTGTGTGTCTCTCTGTCTCTGTGTGTGTCTCTCCGGCTCTGTGTGTCTCTCTGTGTGTGAGGTTCACGGTCTCCTTGTCTCTCTGTCTCTGTGTGTGTCTCTCTGTCTCTGTGTGTCTCGCTGTGTGTGAGGTTCACGGTCTCCGTGTATCTCTGTCTCTGTGTGTGTCTCTCTGTCTCTGTGTCTCTGTGTGTCTCTCTGTGTGTGAGGTTCACGGTCTCCGTGTCTCTCTGTGTGTCTCTGTGTGTCTCTCTGTGTCTCTCTGTGTGTGAGGTCCACGGTCTCCGTGTCTCTCTGTCTCTGTGTGTCTCTGTGTGTCTCTCTGTGTGTGAGGTTCACGGTCTCCGTGTCTCTCTGTGTGTCTCTCTGTCTGTGTCTCTCTGTCTCTGTGTGTGTCTCTCTGTCTCTGTGTGTCTCTGTGTGTGAGGTTCACAGTCTCCGTGTCTCTCTGTCTGTGTCTCTCTGTCTCTGTGTGTCTCTGTCTCTGTGTCTCTCTCTGTGTGTGAGGTTCACGGTATCCGTGTCTCTTTGTGTGTCTCTCTGTCTCTGTGTGTGAGGTTCACGGTCTCCGTGTCTCTTGGTGTCTCTCTGTCTCTGTCTCTGTGTGTGAGGTTCACGGTCTCCGTGTCTCTCTGTGTGTCTCTCTGTCTCTGTGTGTGAGGTTCACGGTCTCCGTGTCTCCGTGTCTCTCACGCGTGGAAGGACTCGTCCCGCCCGTGCTGCTCCCTGACGGCCAGCGAGGAGGAGACGTTTTCCGAGCCCACCACCTCTCCCAGGCGGACCCTCACCCTCTCGTCCACCTACCGACACAGCACACAAAGGTCCCCCGGGTAGCCTCCAACAGGCTGTAGGGGAAAGTGCTGTTCAACTAAATCACGGGTCCTTTTTGTCAGGATGAACGTGTGAAAAAAAATGTTTACCCACCCCATGCCTCAACCATCCACTCTCTCACTCACCCCATTACTCACTCACTCACTCTCTTACTCACTCTCTCACTCACCCACTCACTCACCTACTCTCTCACTCACCCCATTACTCACCCACTCACTCTCTCACTCACCCCATTACTCACCCACTCACTCACCCCCGCTCTCATTCACCCACCCACTATCTCACTCACCCACACTCTCATTCACCCACCCACACTCTCATTCACCCACCCACACTCTCATTCACCCACCCACACATTCACTCACCCACCCACTCGCTCACTCACCCACTCTCTCACTCACGCACTCACCCACACTCTCAGACCCACCCACACATTCACTCACCCACCCTATTACTCACTCACCCACCCTATTACTCACCCACCCACACATTCACTCACCCACTTACACATTCACTCACCCACTTACACATTCACTCACCCACTTACACATTCACTCACCCACTTACACATTCACTCACCCACTCTCTCACTCACCCACTCTCTCACTCACCCACTCTCTCACTCACCCACTCTCTCACTCACCCACTCTCTCTCACCCACTCACCCACTCACCCACTCTCTCACTCACCCACTCTCTCACGCACCCACTCTCTCACTCACCCACTCTCTCACTCACCCACTCTCTCACTCACCCACTTACACATTCACTCACCCACACTCTCACCCACCCACCAACCCACTCACACCCACCCACCCACGTACACATTCACTCACCCACTATCTCACTCACGCACTCACCCTCTCACCCACTTGCACATTCACTCACCCACTATCTCACTCACCCACCCACTCACTCTCTCACCCGCTTACACACTCACCCACTCTCACCCACACGCTCACCCACCCACCCACTATCTCACTCACTCACTCACCCACTTACACATTCACTCACCCACTATCTCTCTCACCCACCCACTCACTCACTCACCCACTTACACATTCACTCACCCACTATCTCTCTCACCCACCCACCATCTCACTCACTCACCCACCCACTTACACATTCACTCACCCACCATCTCACTCACCCACTCTCTGACCCACCCACTATCTCACTCACTCACCCACTCACCCACTTACACATTCACTCACCCACACTCTCACTCACCCACCCACTCACTCTCTCACCCGCTTACACATTCACTCACCCACTATCTCACTCACCCACTCTCTCACCCACAGTCTCACCCACCCACCCACTATCTCACTCACTCACCCACCCACCCACTTACACATTCACTCACCCACTATCTCTCTCACCCACCCACCCACCCACCATCTCACTCACTCACCCACTTACACATTCACTCACCCACACTCTCACTCACCCACCCACTCATTCTCTCACCCGCTTACACATTCACTCACCCACTCTCTCACCCACCCACCCACTATCTCACTCACTCACCCACCCACTTGCACATTCACTCACCCACTATCTCTCTCACTCACCCACTCACTCTCTCACCCGCTTACACATTCACTCACCCACTATCTCACTCACCCACTCTCTCACCCACACTCTCACCCACCCACCCACTATCTCACTCACTCACCCACCCACTTACACATTCACTCACCCACTATCCCTCTCACCCACCCACCCACCATCTCACTCACTCACCCACTTACACATTCACTCACCCACACTCTCACTCACCCACCCACTCATTCTCTCACCCGCTTACACATTCACTCACCCACTATCTCACTCACCCACTCTCTCACCCACCCACCCACTATCTCACTCACTCACCCACTTGCACATTCACTCACCCACTATCTCTCTCACTCACCCACTCACTCTCTCACCCGCTTACACATTCACTCACCCACTATCTCACTCACCCACACTCTCACCCACCCACCCACTATCTCACTCACTCACCCACCCACTTACACATTCACTCACCCACTATCTTTCTCACCCACCCACCATCTCACTCACTCACCCACCCACTTACACATTCACTCACCCACTATCTTTCTCACCCACCCACCCACCATCTCACTCACCCACCCACTTACACATTCACTCACCCACACTCTCACTCACCCACCCACTCACTCTCTCACCCGCTTACACATTCACTCACCCATTATCTCACTCACCCACTCTCTCACCCACACTCTCACCCACCCACCCACTATCTCACTCACCCACCCACTCACCCACCGACCCACTTACACATTCACTCACCCACTATCTCTCTCACCCACCCACCATCTCACTCACTAACCCACTCACCCACTTACACATTCACTCACCCACACTCTCACTCACCCACCCACTCACTCTCTCACCCGCTTACACATTCACTCACCCACTATCTCACTCACCCACTCTCTCACCCACACCCTCACCCACCCACCCACTATCTCACTCACCCACCCACCCACCCACTTACACAGTCACTCACCCACTATCTCTCTCACCCACCCACCATCTCACTCACCCACCCACCATCTCACTCACTCACCCACTTACACATTCACTCACCCACACTCTCACTAACCCACCCACTCACTCTCTCACCCGCTTACACATTCACTCACCCACTATCTCACTCACCCACTCTCTCACCCACACTCTCACCCACCCACTATCTCACTCACCCACCCACTCACCCACTTACACATTCACTCACCCACTATCTCTCTCACCCACCCACCATCTCACTCACTAACCCACTCACCCACTTACACAATCACTCACCCACACTCTCACCCACCCACCCACTATCTCACTCACCCACCCACTCACCCACCCACTCACCCACCCACCCACTTACACATTCACTCACCCACTATCTCTCTCACCCACCCACCATCTCACTCACTCACCCACTTACACATTCACTCACCCACACTCTCACTCACCCACCATCTCACTCACTCACCCACCCACCCACTTACACATTCACTCACCCACTATCTCACTCACTATCTCACTCACTCACCCACCCACTTACACATTCACTCACCCACACTCTCACTCACCCACCCACTCACTCTCTCACCCGCTTACACATTCACTCACCCACTATCTCACTCACCCACTCTCTCACCCACACTCTCACCCACCCACTCACTATCTCTCTCACTCACCCACCCACTCACTCTCACCCGCTTACACATTCACTCACCCACTCTCACTCACCCACTCTCTCACCCACACTCTCACCCACCCACTATCTCACTCACTCACCCACCCACCTACTTACACATTCACTCACCCACACTCTCACTCACCCACTCACCTACCCACCCACTTACACATTCACTCACCCACACTCTCACTCACCCACCCACTCACTCCTCCCACCATCACCGCCGTCTATTCAACACGCTTGTGTCAATATGTAGCAGGCGACGTTCCGGGCCATGACCCTATACTCAAGTTCCACTCGTGCTGACCGTTGCTGGCCGCACACGCATTGAGGGCCTTAATCATTTACATAATAACAATTTACATTATAAATATGTACATTTTATTCATTTACATAATAACAATTTACATTATAATTATTTTAATTTTAGTCATTTACATAATAACAATTTACATTATCATTATTTACTTTTTACTCATTTAGATAATTTACAATACAACAATTTACATTTGTCATTTAGATAATAACAATTTACATTATAATTATTTACATTTTATACATTAACATAATAACAATTTACATTATAAATATTTACATTTTATTCATTTAGATAACAATTTACATCATCATTATTTACTTTTTTTGTCATTTACATAATAACAATGTACATTATAATTATTTCCATTTTAGTCTATTAGATAAAAACAATTAACATTATAATTATTCACATTTTAGTCATTTAGATAATAAATTACATTATAATAATTTACATTCTAGTCATCTAGATAATAACAATTTACATTCTAATTATTTACATTTTTGTCATTTAGATAATAACAATTTACATTCTAATAATTTACAATAGTCATTTAGATAATAACAATTTACATTATAATAATTTACAATAGTCATTTAGATAATAACATTTTTTATTTAAAGCTTTCGTGACTGCAGGGATTCATATTCTTGGTTCTTTCGGTAAAGTCGCCACCACGTAGAAGGGAAACAATAAAATAATAAAAATATAAAACAATAAAATTCTCACGACGTTTCGACTGCAACACAAGCAATCATCATCAGGTGTGAAAACCACACCTGTAGAAGGGAAACAATAAAATAATAAAAATATAAAACAATAAAATTATCACGACGTTTCGACTGCAACACAAGCAATCATCATCAGGTGTGAAAACCACAATATAATCATTTACATTTTAGTCATTTAGATCACAATTTACGTAATAACTTTAATTTTAGTCATTTACATAAGAACAATTCACGTAGTAATATTCATTGTTGTAATTTAGACGATAACAATTCCCATTATAATAATTAACATTACAATAATAATTCACATTAAATTGTAAGGCGCCTTCCACCGAATGCGACGATGTTCCGCAGTAATCGCAATGTATAACAATACAGAAATATAAACGTTTATAAGTTTATTTATTTGCTTTACCCGTGAGGCGATGGTTGTGAGCGGGCGCTGAAAGTTCCTCAGCGAGGCCCTCACGCGGACCTTTAATATACTCCACAGCGCCATTGCTGTTGTTACTTTTTACAAACAAACAAAACAAAAAAAATCGACGTTTTTTGTTGTTTTAAATCACTCCGGCGAATCGACGACTCGTTGTTTTCCCTCAAAAGTGAAACTTTGAAGGACGTTCGCTCCTTTGGGTATGCCCTCTTCAAAGTCGGCGTTAACTTTTTTTACGCGCGCGCGCGCTCGCTCCCCGCCAAAAACAACAGCAGCAGCCACAGCCGCCACCACCACAGCAGCCACCACCACCACAGCCACCACCACAACTACCACAGCCACCACCACAGCCGCCACCACCACCACAGCAGCCACCACCACAGCCGCCACCACCACAACTACCACAGCCACCACCACAACTACCACAGCCACCACCACAACTACCACAGCCACCACCACCACAACCACCACAGCCGCCACCACCACAGCAGCCACCACCACAACTACCACAGCCACCACAACTACCACAGCCACCACCACCACCACAGCCACCACAACAACTACCACAGCCGCCACCACCACAGCCACCAGCACCACAGCAGCCACCACCACCACAGCAGCCACCACAGCCACCACCACAACTACCACCACCACAGCCACAGACACCACCACCCGCGTCGTCAGGGGGGCGTGAATGGACGACGCTCACAGCAGTAGCAGCTCGTCGTGAACGATGATACGCAACAGCTAAATGTCCCTCGGAGCGGTTGTGTGTGTGTGGGGGATGAAAATAAAAGAATGTAACGTCTGCTATTAAAGTGAAACGATAAGGTCACGTTACTAACGAATGTTGTTGCTGTATTTTTTTATTACTTTGGTTATTATTGTCGTTAGTCTCGTGTGCCTACGCAATGCTTAAAAAAAAACAATAACGCGGTACAAGTATCGCCAAATAATTAGTTAATCGAAAACGACTTGTACGAACATCTAACCCCAACGTAAACTTTTATTAGAAATCGTTAAATTAGGTCGTGGAAATCCGATAAATAAACCCACGACGTTTCGATCGCAACACAAGCGGTCTTCATCAGGCGGATGACTTTACCGAAAGAACTTAAGACTATGAAGTATTCCTGCAGTCACGAAAAGTTTAAAATAAAAACAAATTCCACCCCCTACCCAACATGGCCGCCCGATGCATACCAGAGCAATGACATTGTAGTTCATACCGCGTATAAGCAGGCGAACGTCCGCCTATTGGTTATAATTATGTCACGTGGATCTCAGTGAGCGAATGGGATTCGACGCTGGACCTACCTATGTTATGAGATCCAATATGTGTAACTGAGGCAACGAGGTGACGTCACTTCATCAATTGCCGCCTTAATTATTTTTTAACTATAACACGACAACGTCAAACAATTAAGAAAGTGGTCTACTATTAACAGTAATAGCATAATAATGTTGATAAACGATGTAAAACATTTTTTTTTAAATATGTAAAGAAGATAACATGTTGACGTCACTTTTTCCCTCCGCCATATATATTTTACAAGACAACGTCAAATAATTAATAAAATAGTATATTATTAACAGTAACAGCGTGCCAACGCTAAAACTACAGTTGTCTGTAATAATGATAATAATTATTATTTAACTTTTAACAATCGCTCGGTGACGTCACGCCGGAAACGGCCGCAGTTCTACCGGAAGCGGCCTCCGTCTCTTTCTCTTGCCGCCATCATGGTAAGGCGGTGGCGGCGCTGGTGGCGTGAGGGGAAAAATTTCGTTTCTTTAAAACATATTAAAGAATCCTAACAAGCGAATTATTCCCTCGGACGAGACGACTTAATTGTGCTTGTCCGTGCGACCCCTCTCAAGAGTAAAATCGATCAAAGTTGACGAGTTTATCTCCGGAGGCGTTCGCGGTCAATTCTGAGGCCTAGGCCCCGAGAGTAGCGCTAGTCGAGACTCGCTCCCCCCCCCACGTGTCGCGATTTTTAACAGTTGTGGCTTTTAAAGATGCAACATTTAGACGCTTAAACAGTTGTGTTGACATGTTAAAAAACACTAAACTGAAACCTTTTGCAAGGAATTGCGTCTGCGTTAACATACAATTATAATTTTTATTTATTTAAAGCTTTCGTGACTGCAGCGATTCATATTCTTGGTTGTTTCGGTAAAGTCACGTTGAAGGGACTTTACCGAAAGGACCAAGAATATACAATGATATGATTCCTTACAAGTCGATGTGCTTAATGCAGTGACACGAATCGTCGCAAAAGGTGTCTTGTCTGGTGTTGTTAACGTCTTAACACGACCGTTGTCTTGCCACAAATGGTAAAACAGATTATTATATTTTGATCCTGGCAAGGCACGATTCAGACGTTTTAGCTCGCAGTGGTAGAAAGTGGCCCTTGGGCTAGGCAATGTCGTCTCGCGTGGTGGGGTTTAAGATGTGTTTAGTAGGGGGTGAGATCGCCTGCCCGTGTCACTGTCGTTAAGTCAGCCCCACTGACGAGACGGCCACTGTGGAAGGGTTTGTAGGTGCGGGTTTGTAGTTTATAGTTGTGTAAGGTTTGTATGTGTAAGGTGTGTAGTTGTAAGGTTTCGTAGTTTGGAGTTGTAAGGAGAGTTGTAGTTGTCTGTTAGTTGTGGGTTCACTCTCCAACCCACGCAGCCGGTTAGTGCTGAGATGCTCACTAATTTGGCCACGTGGTGGCCGGGTTTAACGGCACATCCTGAGGCGATCTCACCCCTTGTCTGTGTGTGACTGTGTGACTACATGTGTGTGTGACTACCTGTCTGCGATTTCGTATCTCTGTGTGTGTGCGATTGTGTGTGAGACTCAGCTTGTGTGAGACTCAGCGTGTCTGTGTGACTCCAGATCTCCGTGTCTCTAGATGCGACTCTCTCCGTGTCTGACTGTCTCTGTGTGTGACTGTCTCTCCGTGTCTCTGTATCTCCTGGTGTGGCTCTGTCTCTCCGTGTCTCTATCGCCATGCGTGGCTCTGTGTCTCCATGTGTGACTCTCTCCGTGCGTGACTGTCTCTGTGCCTGTGTGACTCTCTCCGTGTCTCTATCTCCGGGTGTGGCTCTGTCTCTCCGTGTCTCCGTGAGACTGTCTCTGTGTCTCCATGCGTGTCTCCGTGTGTGGCTCTGTGTCTCCGTGCGTGACTCTGTCTCCGTGTCTCTGTGTCTCCGTGTCTGTGTGACTCTCTCCGTGTCTCTATCTCCTGGTGTGGCTATGTCTCTCCGTGTCTCTATCGCCATGCGTGGCTCTGTGTCTCCATGTGTGACTCTCTCCGTGTCTCCGTGCGTGACTCTGTCTCTGTGCCTGTGTGACTCTCTCCGTGTCTCTGTATCTCCGGGTGTGGCTCTGTCTCTCCGTGTCTCGGTGAGACTGTCTCTGTGTCTCCATGCGTGTCTCCGTGTGTGGCTCTGTGTCTCCGTGTCTCCGTGAGACTGTCTCTGTGTCTCCATGCGTGTCTCCGTGTGTGGCTCTGTGTCTCCGTGCGTGACTCTGTCTCCGTGCGTGACTCTGTCTCCGTGTCTGTGTGACTCCGTGTCTGTGTGACTTTGTCCGTGTCTCCATGCGTGTATCTCCCGTGTCTCTGTTTGACTGTCTGTGTCTCTGACTGTGCGTGTCTCTGTTTGACTGTCTGTGTCTCCGTGCGTGACTCTGTGTCTCCGTGTCTGTGTGACTCTGTCTGTGTCTCCGTGCGTGTATCTCCCGTGTCTCTGTTTGACTGTCCGTGTCTCCATGCGTGTCTCCGTGTGTGGCTCTGTGTCTCCGTGCGTGACTCTGTCTCCGTGCGTGACTCTGTCTCCGTGTCTGTGTGACTCCGTGTCTGTGTGACTCTGTCCGTGTCTCCGTGCGTGTATCTCCCGTGTCTCTGTTTGACTGTCTGTGTCTCCGTGCGTGACTCTGTCTCCGTGTCTGTGTGACTCTGTCCGTGTCTCCGTGTCTGTGTGACTCCGTGTCTGTGTGACTCTGTCCGTGTCTCCGTGCGTGTATCTCCCGTGTCTCTGACTGTCTGTGTCTCTGTGACTCTGTGTCTCCGTGCGTGTATCTCCCGTGTCTCTGTTTGACTGTCTGTGTCTCCGTGCGTGACTCTGTCTCCGTGTCTGTGTGACTCTGTCCGTGTCTCCGTGCGTGTACCTCCCGTGTCTCTGTTTGACTGTCCGTGTCTCTGTTTGACTGTCCGTGTCTCTGTTTGACTGTCTGTGTCTCTGTTTGACTGTCTGTGTCTCTGTTTGACTGTCTGTGTCTCTGTTTGACTGTCTGTGTCTCTGTTTGACTGTCTGTTTCTCTGTTTGACTGTCCGTGTCTCTGTTTGACTGTCTGTGTCTCTGACTGTCTGTGTCTCTGTTTGACTGTCTGTGTCTCTGTTTGACTGTCCGTGTCTCTGTTTGACTGTCTGTGTCTCTGACTGTCTGTGTCTCTGTTTGACTGTCTCTGTTTGACTGTCTGTGTCTCCGTGCGTGTCCGCAGGTGTTCAAGCGCTTCGTTGAGGTTGGCCGTGTGGCCTACATCGCCTTCGGCCCCCACGAGGGGAAGCTCATCACCATCGTCGATGTCATCGACCAGAACAGGGTGCGTGGGGGGGTGGTGTCGTGGTTAGCGCTGCACCGTGCGTGTGTAGTGTGGTGTGTGTGTGTAGTGTGGTGCGTGTGTAGTGTGGTGTGTGTAGTGTGTGTAGTGTGGTGTGTGTGTAGTGTATGTGTAGTGTGGTGTGTGTAGTGTATGTGTAGTGTGGTGTGTGTAGTGTGTGTGTAGTGTGTGTGTGTAGTGCGGTGCGTGTGTATAGTGTGTAGTGTGGTGTGTGTAGTGTGTGTGTAACAGTGAGTTGTGTGTGGGGAGCGGTGGTGTCGTGGTTAGCGCTGCACCGTGTGTGTGTATAGTGTGGTACGTGTGTATAGTGTGGTGTGTGTGGTGCGTGTGTATAGTGTGGTGTGTGTAGTGTGGTGTGTGTAGTGTGGTGTGTGTATAGTGTGTGTGTAACAGTGAGTTGTGTGTGGGGAGCGGTGGTGTCGTGGTTAGCGCTGCACCGTGCGTGTGTGTAGTGTGGTGCGTGTGTATAGTGTGTGTGGTGTGTGTAGTGTGGTGTGTGTGTATAGTGTGTGTGGTGTGTGTAGTGTGTGTGTATAGTGTGGTGTGTGTGTGGTGTGTGTAGGGTGGTTTGTGGAGTGTGTGTATAGTGTGTGTGGTGTGTATAGTGTGGTGTGTGTGTGTGGTGTGTGTATAGTGTGTGTGTAACAGTGAGTTGTGCGTGGGGAGCGGTGGTGTAGTGGTTAGCGCTGCACCGTGTGTGTAGTGTGTGCGTGTAGTGTGTGTAGTGTGTGTGTGGTGTGTGTTGTGTGTAGTGTGTGTGCGTGTAGTGTGCATGTGCAGTGTGTGTGTGTGTAACAGTGAGTTGTGTATGTTGGGAGTGGTGGTGTAGTGGTTAGTGCTGCACCGTGCGTGTGTAGTGTGTGTGTAGTGTGTGTGTAGTGTGTGTGTAGTGTGTGTGTAACGGTGAGTTGTGTGTGGGGAGCGTTAGTGTAGTGGTTAGCTCTGCACCGTGTGTGTGTGTAGTGTGTGTGTGTAGCAGTGGGTAGTGTAGTGGTTAGCTCTGCACCGTGTGTGTGTAGTGTGTGTAGTGTGTGTGTGTGGTGTGTAGTGTGTAGTGTGTGTAGTGTGTGTGGTGTGTAGTGTGTGTAGTGTGTGTGGCAGTGGGGGTTATTGTTGTGAGGGGAGCAGTAGTGGAGCAGTGATTAGCGCTACGCTGCGCCACGATCCCGGCGACACGATTTCGATTCTCGCTCACGGCCGACACCGGTGACGATTATCTGAACCGGTCCTGGGGGCCTCTCCTAGGTCGACTCGGCCTCAAATAAGCACCCGGTGCGGCGGTGTAGTCGTGAACATCGCCACAGGGGAGACAAAGGCGGCCGGGCGTGTGTGCGTGGCGCCGACCACGCTGATGCCACTGGCGGCGGCCTTCACAGCCGCCGCCGCTGCTGCTTGACAGTACTTGCCCCTCCAGTGTGTCTGAGGCTACCTGGGGGACCCTTTGTCTTTGTGCAGGCCCTGGTGGACGGACCGTGCACGGGAGTGAGGCGCCAGGCGATGTCCTTCAAGTGCATGCAGCTGACAAACATCATCATCAAGTTCCCATATGGGTACTCACTCACTCACTCAGTCACTCACTCAGTCACTCACTGAGTCACTCACTGAGTCACTCACTGAGTCACTCACTCAGTTACTCACTCAGTCACTCAGTCACTCACTCAGTCACTCACTCAGTCACTCACTCAGTCACTCACTCAGTCACTCACTGAGTCACTCAGTCATTCACTGAGTCACTCAGTCACTCACTCACTCAGTCACTCACTGTGCATGCAGCTGACAAACATCATCAAGTTCCCATACAGGTACTCACTCACTCAGTCACTCACTCAGTCACTCACTCAGTCACTCACTCAGTCACTCACTCAGTCACTCACTCAGTCACTCACTCAGTCACTCACTGTGCATGCAGCTGACAAACATCATCAAGTTCCCATACGGGTACTCAATCAGTCACTCAGTCACTCACTCAGTCAGTTACTCAGTTACTCACTCAGTCACTCACTCGGTCACTCACTCAGTCACTCACTCAGTCGCTCACTCAGTCACTCACTCGGTCACTCACTCGGTCACTCACTCAGTCACTCACTCAGTCGCTCACTCAGTCACTCACTGAGTCACTCACTCGGTCACTCACTCAGTCACTCAGTCGGTCACTCACTGGGTCACTCACTCAGTCACTCACTGTGCATGCAGCTGACAAACATCATCATCAAGTTCCCATACGGGTACTCAGTCACTCACTCAGTCACTCATTCGTCACTCATTCACTCACTCAGTCAGTCACTCACTCAGTCATCACTCAGTCATCACTCAGTCACTCACTCAGTCACTCACTCACTCAGTCAGTTACTCGCTCAGTCACTCAGTCGCTCACTCAGTCAGTCGCTCACTCACTCAGTCACTCACTCACTCAGTCACTCACTCAGTCAGTCACTCAGTCACTCAGTCAGTTACTGAGTCACTCAGTCACTCACTCGTCGCTCACTCACTGAGTCACTCACTCCGTCGCTCACTCACTGAGTCACTCAGTCACTCACTCCGTCGCTCACTCACTCAGTCACTCACTCCGTCGCTCACTCACTGAGTCACTCAGTCACTCACTGAGTCACTCAGTCACTCACTCACTCAGTCATCACTCAGTCATCACTCAGTCACTCACTCAGTCAGTCACTCACTCAGTCACTCAGTCGCTCACTCAGTCAGTCGCTCACTCACTCACTCAGTCACTCACTCAGTCAGTCACTCAGTCAGTTACTGAGTCACTCAGTCACTCACTCAGTCACTCACTCCGTCGCTCACTCACTGAGTCACTCAGTCATTCACTCAGTCACTCAGTCGCTCACTCAGTCACTTACTCAGTCACTTACTCAGTCACTCACTCAGTCGCTCACTCGGTCACTCACTCAGTCACTCACCCAGTCACTTACTCACTCAGTCACTCAGTCACTCACCCAGTCACTCACCCAGTCACTCACCCAGTCACTTACTCACTCAGTCACTCAGTCACTCACCCAGTCACTCACCCAGTCACTCACCCAGTCACTCACCCAGTCACTTACTCACTCAGTCACCCAGTCACTCACCCAGTCACTCACCCAGTCACTCACCCAGTCACTCACCCAGTCACTCACCCAGTCACTCACCCAGTCACTCTTGCACATGAGACTGCTGCTCTCTTGAGCACCCACCCTGGCGATGGCTGTGGTGATGATGATGGTGATGATGGTTGTGGTGGCGGCTGTGATGATGGTGGTTGTGATGGTTGTGGTGGCGGCTGTGGTGGTTGTTGTGGCGATGGTGAATGGTGGTGGTGGTTGTTGGAGTGATGATGATGGTGGTTGTTGCTATAGTGATGGTGGTGGTTGTTGTTACAGTGATGGTGGTTGCTGTAGTGATGGTGGTTGCTGTAGTGATGGTGGTTGCTGTAGTGATGGTGGTTGCTGTAGTGATGGTGGTTGCTGTAGTGATGGTGGTTGTTTTAGTGATGGTGGTGGTTGTTGTGGTGGTTGCTGTAGTGATGGTGGTGGTTGCTGTAGTGATGGTGGTTGCTGTAGTGGTGGTTGTTATAGTGATGGTGGTTGCTTTAGTGATGGTGGTGGTTGTTGTGGTGGTTGCTGTAGTGATGGTGGTGGTTGTTTTTGTGGTGGTTGCTTTAGTGATGGTGGTGGTGGTTGCTGTAGTGATGGTGGTTGCTGTAGTGATGGTGGTTGTTATAGTGATGGTGGTGGTTGCTGTAGTGATGGTTGTTGTTGTGGTGGTCGCTGTAGTGATGGTGGTGGTGGTTGCTGTAGTGATGATGGTGGTTGGTGTGGTGGTTGTTGTAATAGTGATGGTGGTGGTTGCTGTAGTGATGGTGGTTGCTGTAGTGATGGTGCTTGTTATAGTGATGGTGGTGGTTGCTGTAGTGATGGTGGTGGTTGCTGTAGTGATGGTTGTTGTTGTGGTGGTTGCTGTAGTGACGGTGGTTGTTGTGGTGGTTGCTGTAGTGATGGTGGTTGTTGTTGTGGTGGTGGTGCAGTGCACGACAGAAGACGGTCCGTGCGGCGTGGGAGAAGGGGGAGGTTGACAAGAAGTGGGGGGAGTCGAACTGGGCCAAGAAGATCGAGGCTCGGACCAAGGTGGGTCCCCTCCCTCCCTCTCCTCCTCCTCCCCCCTCCCCTCCCTCCCCTCCCTCCCTCCCCTCCTCCTCCCTCTCCCCTCTCGGGGATCCCTGCCGTGGCTGTGAGCGGCCATGGAGCCCGTGTCTCCACCCCCCGCATACGCGCACGCACACTCACTCTTGACACACACACTCTTAACACACACACACTGAACACACTCTTAACTAACACACACACAACATACACACACTCTTAACTCACACACTCTTTAACACACTCACTCTTGACACACACACACTGAACACACTCTTAACTAACACACACACAACATACACACACTCTTAACTCACACACTCTTTAACACACTCACTCTTGACACACACACACTGAACACTCTTAACTCACACACTCTTAACCCACACACTCTTTAACACACACACACTCTTAACACACGCACACTCACTCTTGACACACACACACACACACTGAACACACTCTTAACTCACACACTCTTTAACACACTCACTCTTGACACACACACACTGAACACACTCTTAACTCATACACTCTTAACTCACACACTCTTTAACACACTCGCTCTTGACACACACACACTGAACACACTCTTAACTCACACACTCTTAACTCACACACTCTTTAACACACTCACTCTTGACACACACACACTGAACACACTCTTAACTCACACACTCTTAACTCACACACTCTTTAACACACGCACACACTCTTAACATACACTCTGAACACACACTCTTAACACACACACTGAACACACTTAACTAACACACACACAACATACACACTCTCTTAACACACACGCACACTCACTCTTGACACACACACTGAACACACTTACTCTTAACTCACTCACACACTCTTAACACACACTCTGAACACACTTACTCTTAACACACACTCTTAACTCACACACTCTTAACTCACACACTCTTAACTCACACACTCTTAACTCACACACTCTTAACTCACACACTCTTAACTCACACACTCTTAACTCACACACTCTTAACTCACACACTCTTAACTCACACACTCTTAACTCACACACTCTTAACTCACACACTCTTAACTCACACACTCTTAAAACACACACTCTTAACACACACACTCTTAACACACACACTCTTGACACACACACACTGAACACACTTACTCTTAACTCACACACTCTTAACACATGCACACACTCTTAACACACACACTGAACACACTTACTCTTAACTAACACACACACTCTGAACACACACTCTTAACACACTTACTCTTAACACACTTACTCTTAACACACTTACTCTTAACTCACACACTCTTAACTCACACGCACACTCACTCTTGACACACACACTGAACACACACTCTTAACACACACTGAACACACTTACTCTTAACTCACACACTCTTAACACACACACACACACACTCTGAACACACTCTTAACACACACTCTTAACACACACACTTAACACACACACTTAACACACACACTTAACACATTTACTCTTAACTCACACACACTCTTAACACACACTCTGAACACACACTTAACATACACGCACACTCTTAACACACACACTGAATACACACACTTAACTCACACTTAACACACACACTCTTAATACGCACACTCTTAACACGCGCACACACACTCTTAACACACACACTCTTAACACTCTTAACACACGCACTCTTAACACACGCACACTCTTAACATGCACACACTTAACACGCACACTCTTAACACGCACACTTAGCACACGCACTCTTAACACGCACACACTTAACACACACACTCTTAACACACACACGCACTCTTAACACGCACTCTTAACACGCACACACTTAACACACACTCTTAACACACACACGCACTCTTAACACGCACACACTTAACACACACTCTTAACACACACACGCACTCTTAACACGCACACACTTAACACACACACTCTTAACACACACGCACTCTTAACACGCACACACTTAACACACACACTCTTAACACACACACACTCTTAACACACACGCACTCTTAACACGCACACACTTAACACACACTCTTAACACGCACACTTAACATGCACACACTTAGCACACACACTCTTAACACACACGCACTCTTAACACACACACTCTTAACTCACACGCACTCTTAACACGCACACACTTAACACGCACACAACTCGCGCTAATTCACACAATCTAATGGGCACCTGTGTGTGTATGTGTGTCTGTGTGTGTCTGTGTGTGTGCGTCTGGCTCCGTGTGTCTGTGTGTGTGTGTCTGGCTCCGTGTGTCTCTGTGTGTGTCTGGTTCCGTGTGTCTGTGTGTGTGTCTGTGTGTCTCTGCGTGTGTCTCCGTTCCGTGTGTCCCCCCAGCGTGCGAAGATGAGCGACTTTGACCGCTTCAAGCTGATGAAGGCCAAGAGGATGGTGAGCAGCTTCGTCGCACGCACGGATACACACACACACGCATGGATACACACACACGCATGGATACACACACGCACGCACGGATACACACACACATACGCATGGATACACACACACGCATGGATACACCCACCCACACACACACACCCACCCACACACTCACCCACCCACACACCCACACTCACTCACCCACCCCTCCTCTCTCCCCTCTCCCCGTGCAGCGTAACCGCATCATCAAGGCCGAGCTGAAGCGACTGCAGAGGGCTGAGAACAAGAAGTCTTGAGGTGGCCCCACGACTTCCTCGTCAAGCCCCAGCCCAAGACGTTCACTTCAATAAAAGTCACCGAGACACTCAACTGGTGGAGTCGCCGTGCGTGGCAGTGATTGTACGTCGTGGGTGGGTGGGTGAGTGGGTGGATGTGTGGGTGGGTGGATGTGTGGGTGGGTGGGTGGATGTGTGGGTGGGTGGATGTGTGGGTGAGTGGGTGGATGTGTGGGTGAGTGGGTGGGTGGATGGATGTGTGGGTGAGTGGGTGGATGAGTGAGTGGGTGGATGTGTGGGTCAGTGGATGTGTGGGTCAGTGGGTGGATGGATGTGTGGATGAGTGGGTGGATGTGTGGGTGGATGTGTGGGTGAGTGGATGTGAGTGGGTTGTAGCCAATAAGGGGTTTGTCATGTAAACAGAACGTGGCCAATTCATTACTAGTACAGCACTAGTGTATGGTGTAGTGTGTGTAGTTTACGGTGTAGTGTATGGTGTAGTGTATGGTGTAGTTTACGGTGTAGTGTATGGTGTAGTGTGTATGGTGTAGTGTAGTGTGTATGGTGTAGTGTGTAAGGTGTAGTGTGTATGGTGTAGTGTGTAAGGTGTAGTGTGTATGGTGTAGTGTGTGGTGTAGTGTGTGGTGTAGTGTATGTTGTAGTGTGTGGCGTAGTGTGTGGTGTGGTGTGTGTGGTGTAGTGTGTATGGTGTAGTATAAGGTGTAGTGTGTGGTCACCCTGCATGTCACGTCACCCGTGACGTCACCTGTCTTGCACACAGCCATGGGTGTCGTAAAACTCGAAACTTTATTCTCCCTGTAAACTCAATCAAGTCGCGGAGATCCTCGCTTAGTGCAGCAGCAGCACTTGCGTGTGTGCAGTAGACACACAGACAAAGGTCACCCGTGTAGCCTCGACACACACGGGGAAAGTGCTGTTAGTAGAGAGTAGCAGCAGTGTGCAGTAGACACAGACAAAGGTCACCCGTGTAGCCTCGACACACTTGGGGCAAGTGCTGTTAGCATGTAGCAGCACACGAGGGGGTGGGTGGCCAGCACCACGCCCGGCCGCCTTTGTCTCCCCAGTGGCGATTTTTACTGCACACCGCTACACCAGCTACTCATTTGAGGCCCAGTCGACCTAGGGGAGGCCCGGGACAGGTTCAGATGATCGTCACGTGGTGCTGGTGGCCCTGAGCGGGAATCGAACTGGGGATGGAGCCGCGTCGGTGAGGGGGAGTGGAGGATTGTGAATCTCGCTGGCGGCAGGCTGACGCACAGGGGCAGCTGCCGCTGGGGGTGCTCCTGGGTTACAAACCCCACAGCAGCAATCTCAGCCCCCCACAGGGGCAGCTGCCGCTGGGGGTGCTCCTGGGTTACAAACCCCGCAGCACCAGCAGCAATCTCAGCCCCCCACAGGGGCAGCTGCCGCTGGGGGTGCCCGCAGGCCACAGACCCCTCAGGGGCAGCTGCCGCTGGGGGGTGCCCGCAGGCCACAGACCCCACAGGGGCAGCTGCCGCTGGGGGGTGCCCGCAGGCCACAGACCCCACAGGGGCAGCTGCCGCTGGGGGTGCCCGCAGGCCGCAGACCCCACAGGGGCAGCTGCCGCTGGGGGTGCCCGCAGGCCGCCCGCTCACCGCCACGGCGCCAGCAGCTGGAGCAGCGCCGTGGCGGCCTCCTGGAGGAAGCTCACGAGGATCACGTTCACCTCCAACAGAGGCACCCTGCCACCACCATCACCAACGCCACCATCGCCACCATCGTCACCACCACCACCACAGCCGCCCGTCAACACGGAGGTGGCCAGCGTCCAGCAGAGCATCGGCAAGGCCCAAGTCCTGGCGAAGCTCCACACCACGGCCTTGGGTGTGGGCCACGCCGGGCGCAAGTCGTCGTCGTCGTCGTCGTCGTGATCTTCATCACCACCTCGTCCACCTCGTCCACCTCCTCGTCGTCCACCTCGTCCACCACCACCTCGTCCACCACCAGCAGCAGTGCGACGATGCCAAGCGTCGTTCTTCCCCACCGGGCGGCGATCCTTGAGTAGGCTCACAGCGCCGTCTGGCGGAGGAGGTGGAGGTTGGGAAGCAACCACCACCACCACCGTCGTCGTCCCCACCTCGTCCACCTCGTCCACCTCGCCCACCTCGCCCACGTCCACCTCGCCCTCGTCCACCTCGCCCACCTCGCCCGCCTCGCCCACCTCGCCCACCTCGCGGCCGCTGCCCCTAGCGGCCCAGCGCAGCGCCAGCGCCAGGTAGCAGCAGCTGCAGGCGACGGCGGCGGCCACGGCGGCGGCGTGCGGCCTGCGGAGGGGCGGGAGCTGGCGCAGGCGGCGCACGGCCACGGGGGGCCGGGCGGCCTCGTCCACGACGGCCAGCAGCCAGCAGGCGGCGCAGACGGCCACGGTCAGCCGCCGGGGAGGGCCGCGGGTGGCGGGCGGTGGCGGCGGTGAGGGTGGCGGTGAGGGTGAGGGCGGTGAGGGTGAGGGCGGTGGTGAGGGTGAGGGTAGTGAGGGTGAGGGCGGTGAGGGTGAGGGCGGTGGTGAGGGTGAGCGGCAGGCCAAGATGAGGAGTTGCTCGGCCACCACGAACGTGGGGAAGAGGAAGAGAAGCGAGCCGCAGGCGCCGCTCAGCGCCGCCACGCAGGCCGGCGGGCCCCAGCAGGCCGGCGGGCCCCAGCAGGCCGGCGGGCCCCAGCAGGCCGCACGCTGGGAGGGCGGCCACAGGCCCAGGGCGTGTGACGTCACCAGGGCTGGGGTGGGGGGTGGAGGGGGACAAAGTCGCGCTGGGTTTGGGGGACAGGAGGGGCTTGACGATGGTGATGGTGGTGGTGATGGTGGTGGTGATGGTGGTGGTGATGATGGTGGTGGTGATGATGGTGGTGGTGGTGATGGTGGTGGTGATGAGGGTGGTGGTGGTGATGGTGATGAGGGTGGTGGTGGTGCCGGACGGGCAACTCTGTCGTGGACAGCGCTGTGGGGGGAGATCCAATTTTGATTGGCTCCTCCCCTCATGGCATATGTGTCCACCACAGGGGCTAAACGGGGGCTCTGGACGGGTGCGAGGGGCTGGTAACCCCTTCACCTTCAATTAATTACCACGAAACCACGAATTAAACTGAAATATGTAACAACTAAGCTTGTGCCGGAGGCCCCGGGGGGCCAGGCGTCTATGACGTCTCCTGGCCAAACCCCAATTGGCGGAGCCAGGAGATTGAATACCTACCCTCGGGGCTACTCCAGAAACAACGAAAAGCCACTACGGGTGGCCACGTGGAATGTTCGAACGCTCACTGCAGAGGAGAGGCTGCCACTCCTCTGTCGGGAGCTGGACCGGTACCGCCTGGATCTATGCGGCATTCAGGAGGTCCGGTGGACCGGCTCTGGCTCCTGCCACCATGAGGGGTGGACAGTCCTCTACTCGGGGCAGCAGACTGCCAAACAACAGGGTGTGGGTCTTCTTTTGAACAAAAGAATGAAGGGGGCGTGGGAGCGTGGCGGTGAGGTGTGGGAAGCTGTAAGCCCCAGGCTACTTTGGGCTCGCCTTCCCATCAACCGGAGGCGAGGAATGGTGGTCGTGGTTACTTATGCCCCCACCGAAGATGAACATCCGTGGAGGGATGCAGGCAAAGCCGATGAGTCAGATGCCTTCTATGACCTCCTGTCACAGGTGCTGGCTAAAGTGGCCCCTCGGGATAGAGTCATCATGTTGGGTGACTTCAATGCCCGAGTTGGTCATGATACTGGCACCTGGTCTGGAGTGATTGGAGGGCATGGGCCAGATCAGCTCAATAACAACGGTAGGAGGCTGCTAGATTTTTGTGCAGCCCATGGGCTTGTAATTACCAACACGCTGTTCCGGCATCGGCGCATCCACACAACATCATGGATGCATGCCGGGTCCAAGCAAGAACATCTGCTGGACTACATAGTGACGGACCAGCGAATGCGAGCCCATGTCCTTGACACCAGGACCTACCGTGGAGCTGATCTGCCCTCTGACCATCGACTAGTCATCTGTAAGATGCGCCTGCCATTCTTCCACTCCGGTGGTGGGTGTACACCCAGGACCCCATTCCAACCTAAAGTGGCCTGGTCTCAGTTATCTGATGAAAGTTGCAAGCGAGAATTTCATCATCGCTTGCGGCTGGGATTGGCATCGTCCCCGACTCCTCCTGATGTCGAGGGTAAATGGGCGAGGTTTAGGACTGTGACTCATGCAGCTGCCATGGCTACTTTGGGTACGCGGTACAGACCTCCCCAGACACCCTGGATGACAGAGGAGTTGTTCAGGATGGTTGAGAAAAAGCGACAGGCCCACTGTCATCGGCTACAGAATCCCACGTCAGAGAATGAGGAGGCTTACCGCAGCCTTCGCTCGGAGGTTCGGAGAGCCGTGAGGCGCTGCAAGGATGGGTGGTGGTCGCGGGTTGCTGAGGAGATGGAGTCTGCCTCAGTGGCCCGTGATCACAAATCTCTATTTAACTCCATCAAAAAAGTAACCTGCAGCACCACACCTATTACCATCATTAGGGGAAAAAACGGTGATCCAATTTCCGACCCCCAGGAACAGGTTCGCAGATTTGCTGAGCATTTCTGTGAGGTCCTGGGGGAGGGAAAATCCCTCAGCCAGGAAAACATCGTGGCACAAAGTGAGGATGACCCTGCTGAGGCTGCGGTGCCTCAAATATTGGATGAAGTCAACCCCTGTGAGTGGCTGGCTGAGGTGCCATCTGCTGAGGAAGTATTGAAGGCGATCCGGAGTCTGAGACCAGGAAAGGCAGCGGGCAGAGATGATCTCCCAAGCGAAATGCTGAGGGAGGGTGGCGTTTGTGCACAGACTGCCCTATATGACATCATAACAACAGTCTGGACCACTGGACGGGTTCCGCAGGATTGGAAGGATGCCCTGGTGGTCCCCCTTTTTAAGAAGGGGGACCGCACAGACTGTAATAACTACAGGGGCATCTCACTCCTCAGTGTGCCGGGAAAGGTCCTGGCAAGGATTATTCAGCATCGCCTTGCCAGGCACGCTGAGGAGAGGCTTGCGGAGCCCCAATGCGGTTTCAGGAAAGGGCGGTCCTGCACAGATGCTATAGTTTTCTGTCCGTCTGCTACAGCAGAGGTGTAGGGAATTCCAACAAGACCTACATCTCTGCTTTATTGACCAGGTCAAGGCCTATGATACCATCAGTAGGCCTGGGCTCTGGGTCGTTCTTCGTGCTTTTGGAGTATCTGACCCTCTGCTCACGATCATTAAGGACCTTCATGATGGTGAGCAGGCCCGGGTAAAACTACGTGGCCGGGAGTCAGAGCCATTCCCTGTACACCTTGGGGTGCGACAGGGATGTCCTCTGGCTCCCACATTATTTCACATCTATTTTGACCACGTAGTTCGTGAAGCCTTCAATAGCTGTACCGGGGGAATCTCCATATGGTACAGATATAATGGGAGGCTAATCGATGCCCGGGTGCGGTCAAGGATGGCTCCCTATTGCTCAACCACGTTATGTATGCTGATGATTTGGTAATAGCTGCTCATTCAGAGGAGGAGTTGGAGACGCTGCTGCTGAGACTGGAGCGTGCCACTAAGAGGTGGGGCCTTACCATCAGCCCCACCAAAACTAAGCACCTGCCTGGGTATTTTGTACCATCGGACACTCCACCCCCACAACTCCCAATCGGTGATGGGGCAGTTGTGGAGAGAGTGGAGAGTTTCCCATACCTGGGCAGTGTGCTTATGACTGGCTCCAGTTTAACAGCAGAGGTCTCACTCCGAATCAGTCGAGCGGCAATCTCTTTTCATCGGTTGCGTAACGCTGTGTGGAAGCTACCTGGTCTGTCGCTCCGCACTAAGCTTCAGGTCTTCTTGGCCACGGTCATTCCCTCCCTTCTCTACGCTTGCGAAACGTGGACCCCCCTAATGGAACATCTGCGCCGGTTAGAAACATTTAGGCTGGCCTGCCTACGATCCATCCTGGGTTTAACCAGACTGGATTGTGTGAGGAGCTCACAAATCCTTGAAAGATCTGGGCAGGGTCCCATCGGTGAGCTCCTCCGGCAGGCAAGGCTGCGATGGCTGGGTCATGTAGCCCGCATGCCCAGCCACCGCATGCCGAAACAGCTTTTGTTTGGCCGGATTGAGGGGGCTAAGCGGGGCGCGGCACGGGCTAGAGAAGAGATGGAGTGATGTGGTACAGGAGGACGTGGAGCTGAGTGGACTTGCCGATGACTGGTACCAGCGGTGTCAAGATCGGCCTCTGTGGAGGAGGCTCGTGAAGGATGCTACTGGGCAGTTGGAGGCAGTCGCCCTCCAACAACAACGGAGGGCGGAGGAGCGACGCTCACAACAGCGAGCGGAGCGCCGGGTGGCTAAAGCACAGCAGGTTGGCACAGTAGGGGGCACAGGTGGTGCATCAGCCAGTCATCTCAGTCAGTCGACCCGTGGCACCTGGGTCTGCCCCGTGACCTGCCAGCGGGCGTTCGACACTTCACGTGGCCTCAGGGTGCACATAGCCTGGCACAAGCGTCGTGGTGACGTCACCGCCACTTAGTGGCGAATGGCGGTTGTTGGTGGTGGTGGTGATGATGGTGGTGATGGTGGTGGTGATGGTGGTGGTGATGATGAGGGTGGTGGTGGTGGTGATGGTGGTGATGGTGGTGGTGATGATGAGGGTAGTGGTGGTGGTGATGATGGTGGTGATGGTGGTGATGGTGGTGGTGATGAGAGTGGTGGTGGTGGTGATGAGGGTGGTGGTGATGATGGTGGTGGTGGTGCTGATGGTGGTGGTGGTGATGGTGGTGGTGATGAGGGTGGTGGTGGTGGTGATGATGATGGTGGTAGTGATGATGGTGGTGGTGGTGATGACGATGGTGGTGGTGATGCTGAACAACAACAACCTCCACTACCAGCACCACTACAGAGACAAAGCTCCCCCGTGTAGCCTCTGGCAGGCTGTAGGGGCAAGTGCTGTTAGTGGCGAGTAGCACCACCTATAGACACACAGACAAAGGTCCCCCGTGTAGCCTCTAGCAGGCTGTAGGGGCAAGTGCTGTTAGTGGCGAGTAGCAGCAGCTACCTGTGCAGGCTACCGGCACTGTGGCACACACAGAGGGGGTGGGTGGCCAGCACCACGCCCGGCCGCCTTTGTCTCTCCCAGTGCTAACGATGTTTACTGCATTACCACCGCTCCACCAGCTACTCATTTGAGGCTGAGCCGACCTAGGGGAGGCCCAGGACCGATTCAGATAATTGTCACCGGTGGTGTTATCATTATCACCACCACCACCACCATCACAACCATCACCACAACCACCATAACCACCACCATAACCACCAACATCACAACCATCACCACAACCACCACCACCAACATCACAACCACCATAACCACCAACATCACAACCATCACCACAACCACCACCACCAACATCACAACCACCACAACCACCATAACCACCAACATCACAACCATCACCACAACCACCAACATCACAACCATCACCACAACCACTATAACCACCAACATCACAACCATCACCACAACCACCACCACCACCCAGATATCACTGTCACGATAAAGACGACGGCGATTTTGATGTTAACAAGGAGGTGAAGGAGGTGAAGGAGGCGGAGTTGAAGGAGGAGGTGAAGGAGGTGGAGTTGGAGGAGGAGGTAGAGTTGGAGAAGGAGGTGAAGGAGGTGGAGTTGGAGAAGGTGGAGTTGGAGGAGGAGTTGGAGAAGGAGGAGGTGAAGGAAGTGGAGTTGGAGGTGAAGGAGGTGGAGTTGGAGGAGGTTGAGAAGGAGGTGGAGTTTGAGGAGGTGGAGTTGGAGGAGGTGGAGTTCGAGAAGGAGGTGGAGTTGGAGAAGGAGGTGGAGTTGGAGAAGGAGGAGGTGGAGAAGGTTGAGGAGGAGGTGGAGTTGGAGGAGGAGGTGGAGTTGGAGTTTGGAGGAGGAGGTGGAGTTGGAGGTGGAGTTGGAGGTGGAGTTGGAGGAGGTGGAGTTGGAGGTGGAGTTGGACGAGGAGGTGGAGTTGGAGGAGGTTGAGGAGGTGGAGTTGGAGGAGGAGGTGGGGTTGGAGGAGGTTGAGGAGGTGGAGTTGGAGGAGGAGGTGGAGTTGGAGGAGGTGGAGTTGGAGGTGGAGTAGGAGGAGGTGAAGTTGGAGGAGGAGGAGTTGGAGGAGGAGGTGGAGTTGGAGGAGGAGTTGGAGGAGGAGGTGGAGTTGGAGGAGGAGTTGGAGGAGGAGGTGGAGTTGGAGGAGGAAGTGGAGGTGGAGTTGGAGGTGCAGCGTAACCGCATCATCAAGGCCGAGCTGAAGCGACTGCAGAGGGCTGAGAACAAGAAGTCTTGAGGTGGCCCCACGACTTCCTCGTCAAGCCCCAGCCCAAGACGTTCACTTCAATAAAAGTCACCGAGACACTCAACTGGTGGAGTCGCCGTGCGTGGCAGTGATTGTACGTCGTGGGTGGGTGAGTGGGTGGATGTGTGGGTGGGTGGGTGGATGTGTGGGTGAGTGGGTGGATGTGTGAGTGGGTGGATGTGTGGGTGAGTGAGTGGGTGGATGTGTGGGTGGATGAGTGAGTGGGTGGATGAGTGAGTGGGTGGATGTGTGAGTGGGTGGATGTGTGGGTGGGTGGATGTGTGGGTGAGTGAGTGGGTGGATGGGTGAGTGGGTGGATGAGTGAGTGGGTGGATGTGTGGGTGGATGAGTGAGTGGGTGGATGAGTGAGTGGGTGGATGTGTGAGTGGGTGGATGTGTGGGTGGGTGGATGTGTGGGTGAGTGAGTGGGTGGATGAGTGAGTGGGTGGATGAGTGAGTGGGTGGATGTGTGGGTGGGTGGATGTGTGGGTGGGTGGATGTGTGGGTGGGTGGATGTGTGGGTGGGTGGATGTGAGTGGGTCATAGCCAATAAGCACTATTTAATGGTGTAGTGTGTATGGTGTAGTGTGTGGTGTAGTGTGTATGGTGTAGTTGTAGTGCGTGGTGTAGTGTGTATGGTGTAGTGTGTGTGGTGTAGTGTATGGTGTAGTGTGTGGTGCAGCGTGTGTAGTGTGTATGGTGTAGTGTGTATGGTGTAGCGTGTAGTGTACTGTGTAGTGTACGGTGTAGTGTATTGTGTAGTGTATGGTGTAGTGTGTGGTGTAGTGTGTGTGGTGTAGTGTGTGGTGTAGTGTGTGGTGTAGTGTATGGTGTAGTGTGTGGTCACCCTGCACATGACCCTGCATGTCACATCACCCGTCACGTCACCTGTCGTGCACACACAGCCATGGGTGTCATAAAACTCGAAACTTTATTCTCCCTGTAAACTCAATCAAGTCGCGGAAATCCTCGCTTAGTGCAGCAGCAGCAGCACTTGCGTGTGTGCAGTAGACACACAGACAAAGGTCACCCGTGTAGCCTCAACACACTTGGGGCAAGTGCTGTTAGTAGCATGTAGCAGCACACAAGGGGGTGGGTGGCCAGCACCACGCCCGGCCGCCTTTGTCTCCCCAGTGGCAATTTTTACTGCACACCGCTACACCAGCTACTCATTTGAGGCCCAGCCGACCTAGGGGAGGCCCAGCCGACCTAGGGGAGGCCCGGGACAGGTTCAGATGATCGTCACGTGGTGCTGGTGGTGGTGGCCCTGAGCGGGAATCGAACTGGGGATGGAGCCGCGTCGGTGAGGGGACGTGGGGGGAGTGGAGGATTGTGAATCTCGCTGGTGGCAGGAGGTTGAGAAGGAGGTGAAGTTGGAGAAGGAGGTGGAGGTGTAGGAGGTTGAGGAGGTGGAGGTGGAGGAGGTGGAGGAGGTGGTGGTGTAGGAGGTGAAGGAGGTGAAGGAGGTTGAGGAGGAGGTGGTGTAGGAGGTGGAGGTGGTGTAGGAGGTTGAGGAGGAGGTGGTGTAGGAGGTGGAGGTGGTGTAGGAGGTTGAGGAGGTGGAGGTGTAGGAGGTGGAGGTGGTGTTGGAGGTTGAGGAGGTGATGGTGTAGGAGGTGGAGGAGGTGGTCGTGTAGGAGGTGGAAGAGGTGGAGGAGGTGTTGGAGGTGGTGGTGTAGGAGGAGGTGTAGGAGGTGGTGGTGTAGGAGGTGGAGGAGGTTGAGGAGGTGGAGGAGGTGTAGGAGGATGAGGAGGTGGAGGTGTAGGAGGTTGAGTAGGTGGAGGAGGTGGAGGTGGTGTAGGAGGTGGAGGTGTAGGAGGTTGAGGTGGAGGTGTAGGAGGCTGAGGAGGTGGAGGAGGTGTAGGAGGTGGAGGAGGTGTAGGAGGTGGAGGTGTAGGAGGTGGAGGTGTAGGAGGCTGAGGAGGTGGAGGAGGTGGAGGTGTAGGAGGTGGAGGTGTAGGAGGCTGAGGAGGTGGAGGAGGTGGAGGAGGTGTAGGAGGCTGAGGAGGCTGAGGAGCCTGAGGAGGTGGTCACCTGTGGCGACGGCTTCGACGGCGACGAGGGAGACGCTGAGGCAGCCAGCGAAGGTCTCCAGGAGGCCGGGGGCATTGCCTCTTGCCAAGCGGCACCTCCACATCAGCAGCACGGAGACATCCACCGCCAGCTTGAGCAGCAGCAGCAGCAGCAGCTCACGCGTCCACTCGGGCTCCAGCAGCATCCTCCACCTCCTGCTCCACCTCCTC